TCGGCGCACATGTATGAGAAGGCGTAAGTTGCGTTTCACTTAGATTAACTATACTTTCGTCCGAAAGTATGTTGTTACTTAGAATTTTCTTTACAATTACCGAAGTCAATGTTTGTAAACATTATGCATCTTAGCAGCAATACGGAAACTCCTCTTTGCACGTCGCCACAGGCAAAATTATGCCGTGATGGGCCCTCCACTGAGGAGATTTGTCAGCCGACCTGCACACGCGCATTGGTGCTCAGAGTGCATTTGTATCTTACCCCTCTACTGGAGTGTGTTGTCTGTCCGTCTGTCTGTCACGGGATAGGGTTAATAAAACTCACGCTAATACGCGCGTTCTACTGGCTGCCGAGCGCAGCGAAGGCGGCCTCGATTCGCTAAAAAGCTGCCGAGCGCAGCGAAGGGGCGCTGCCTGTGTGTGCGTTAGTTAGCATTAGTAAAAGGCGTCGATGAGCCCTCACGTACTATATCGTCGTAGGAGCTGTTGAGAAAATTTGTAGGGCTTTGGTTATTCATATTTCGACCTTAATCGAAAGGTTAGTATTTATTGATAATAGAATAATGTTTTAGGTTTCATAGTACTTTTCTAATAATAACACTTTCAATACTGTTTTGCGTATTACTATTATGAAGCTTCTCCATATTTTTGCTTGCGGTTATCTGTAGTAGTAGTACATTTAGCAACCACATCGGGCGCTAGATGATAAATCACAATTGTATTACTTTGAACAATAATGTGAAAGCTTTAAAATATGACTATTGTGGCTTTCTCTCCTGCACCCCACACTACCTCCGGGAAAAAGTGTCATCTTCTTTTATATTTGCGCGCGTAGTGTGCGACCTTAAGATATTGTGCGAACTTTCCAACAATATATGTTGCGTACATCAAACAAAATGGGAACATCGTTTGTGATAAACTTAGCGCGGAGGCACGTGACTAAGCAAGAACACGAAACACGGAGGAACACCGACCCACACTATGTAGACGTTGGGATAGAAGAGCAGCACGAAGCACGGAAGGCCATGGACGATGATAGAAGTCTTAGCCGATGCGAACCACGAAGTTTTATAAGTAGCGTGAAACATGAAAGAGGACGCAGCCATGAAAAGAACAGATGGACAAGAACATGACGAAGGTACGGGCCACGGAGGGAACTAATTATATAGACACCACAGCATGCTGAAAAGCACGGCTACGGAAGAGCATGCACGCTCAAAGCCACGGTAGAGCACGTAACGGTGAGAGTGCACAAAAATAATTCGTGAGCAAAACCACGTTTAAACATGGAGCACAGTCAACAGACCAAACATGAACACATAAGGGAGAAATCACCGAGTATTGGGATGCGATATTAGGGTAGAACCGGAGCTCACCGAGTCTCGCAGCACGATACTACGGTAGCTAACGATCGCATTGACGAAAGACCAACCGTGACATCACAAGCTAGCACGATAGCATGGACTGTGCCACTAAGCCGTGGGAGAACGCAGTCGCGGAGCTATACACGGAAAATCACAGAGCCGCGGAGAGCGATGCCAGTGTTGAACCTGAGCTTACCGAGCCACGTAGGACAGTAGTACATTAGAAATGGATTGCACAGACGGCTGACCAGCCACGATATACACGAGGGGCATTTAGGGTGAGCACAATTCCACACTGTACAGCACGATGTCATTGTAAAACACGATAACATGGGCAAGGCTGGTGCACTACGCGATCACATTACCATATACAGCAAAACCACACCGCGATGGCACGTTAGCGTGATGACGCGGTCAATGGAACCTCACCAGGAGAGCACGATACACGGGCGACGGACCAACACGACTGCGTGGAGGCACGAACCACGGAACAGCACATTTTTGCAAACGAGCCGGTGATTAGAGGGCACCGGCCACGAAGACTACGTACCACGAAGCCGGTGAAACCCACATTAACGTTTGAGAACAGAAAATATGTAGCAGCCACATAAAACGCAATACTAAAGAGCTTGAACCCAAAAGGGAGAGCGCATAACCACTGAGAAGCGTGTGCCACGGGTGAGCAGGGAGCCACGAAACCAGGAAGAGCACGGAAGAGCATGGGCCGTTCAAGGATACAACATCCAAACTGTAGTACAGGGTAGCGGAAACGCTCCAAACCACAATATTATATGAGGCCGGATGCGACTACGGAAATGTAAGTGGTTAAGTACACGAAGACAAGATTTACTGGGGTGAATGACGCTCACAAAGCAAGCGACACCAAAAAAGCACTTAAATTTGCGGACACCTCATCTCCAACAAACCATGCCACTCCGCCGCGTTGCGGCGGCGGCCGGCTAGTCCTAAACTATCAATGCTAGCACGGTGTCTGTCCGTCTGTCACACGAAACGCTCAGGTTTTTGAGTTTTATCATTGGCTGTCGAGCGGAGCGAAGGCGGCTCCAATTGGTTAAAACTGAATTATGTAGCTTACATCAGTAAATTCATGTGGCTCACAGAGCACATATGGAGATTTGCACCATTATTCGAAGGCGGGATCGTATTTACTATTTTGATAATGCATGTTGTTTTTAATATTCGAGTGCTAAACTGAGGGCTTGCTTCCAATACTTCAAGGTGCTCGTAGGAACGCATGTTTTCGAGGACATACTATTAATACGCGTAATACTCTGTACTCAGTAGTTTCTGCGAGTTACAATGACTAAAATGATAACTACATTTGTTTTGCTGTAAAAATATTAACATTAATAAGTAATCTGAGGGTTTCTATGAGGTATTGCTAAATCGTACAAGTTACAAGTACACCAGTAGCCGGCCGTAAGGGCTGGCCGTAAGAAGAACGCTGTGCCAATAAACGTTGTCGCTTGAGCCACAAAGATAGATATGTTTATTGAGCAAAAGAACTTATATGTGCTGATGACAATTACTACTTGACCATTGTTTCTAAGCGTTTTTTAGACAGCAAAATTCGATACTACTTAACCGGCGGACGTGTTGCCGACAAGGGCGTATGATACGATTTTAAACGGAGCGCCAAGACAACAACAAAACACGAGAGGTGTAAATTATAGTTGGTTAAGTAGACCCCATTAAGAAACGTTAATAAACTTGAGGCCTAAATAGCGTTTAACCATCCTGAAAGCATCATTAAACTCTCAAATAAAAAATACTACCGTTAACAACAACAACAACAACAACAGCAGCAGCAGCAAGGCGTCTTGCGACACATTTGTCCGAATGATTTAATCATAACTGGCACAGACTTGAGTGTCTAATGACTAATTCTGAATCAGCACAAAGGAACGCTGCATGCATTAAAAATATTTCGATTTGAAAATGTTTTAGCTTTCATTGAGGTTGGTATGAGAAGTAATCAACCTTTAGTTACTTACAAGCTTAAACGGGCAGTGCAAGCGTGTAATTAGTGCAAGCTGGACAGGCCATTACTATCTTTTGCGTTGATATGAGCTAAGCTTTATAGCGGCTCAGAAACGGCCCGTGACATCGAGCACGACGCTAAATAAAACAAATGTGTAGCGTTTGTAAAAGTGTTTATTTAAAGTGCAGGTGGAAGATGAATATACAGTGATAGCCAACAAAATTAAAGATATTGTATCAAGACTATTAGAAATCTTATTTTAATCGGGTAGGCTAGATGCTGGGGGCTCAGTCTTTCGTATAAATAATTGCATGGCTTACTAAAGACTGCTTAAAATCATTTCGTGCCTGGTAATCTAAATTATACCCAGATTTATAAAAACTCGATTTAGGCACATAGCCTTGAAGCGTAGCGGAGGCGGACAGAAACAAATAGAATTAAACCCAAACTACCGCCGCGTAGCGGCGGCGCTCGACTAGTTTATATTTACGCTACTCGGAGCAGATTATAATCTTTGCGCTTTCGCTACGATTGTACAAAAATATTCTCACACAACTATTTTAATTGTGGGTAGTGTTTTTACACCTTATCGATCTAACCACAATTACTCACGCTGTAGAATATTTGATTAAAGCCGTATATTGTTACAGAACACATTTTTAGTACAGTACTACCTAAGTAAGAACATGATGCTCGACACAAATATCGGTAGAGAGTACCTACCGGTATTTGTGGAGTCAGCTTTCTTGCCCTTGAAAAAAGGCCAAAACTCTTTTAAGTGCGATGAGGCTGTTGCCACAATCGCTGGTATCCGTCACGGATACCCGGTCCACGGGATCCCGGATTCCGTGGACCGGTATGTTGGCTGCTTCAGTCTGATTGCCCACGTGCACCTCCAATTCGGCACCGGTATCAGTCGATACCCTGCCAGATTTTATGATTACGCGAATCGGATGCGCAATTACCTTTGCCCATCACCACCTTAGCAATTAACCTCAATGATTTTCCCCTCCTCGCGGAGAGATGACACGCCGCATCGATCTGATTTTAAATTTTGGATCGGACGTCTTCATACAAACACACACTATACTTTTTTACCGCCAAAGACAATGGGACATCGCCCTTCCTCCTACATGTCCCTAACTTTTTTAGCACAAGTCAGATCCTGCATGCTCTCACTCCATACTTGCTCGTTGATAAACGGAGCGCTTTAAGCCCCCCAAGCTGTAAAGCGCCGGTCGACGTTTACTCCGCCATGAAGTGGTTGTCTGAAGGCTGGAACAACATATCTGCAAAGACTATTATATTAGAAACTGTTGGTGCCACCCAGGCATCGTCTCAAAACTAAACGTAAATTTAGTACTGAATTAACAAAAAACGTATCAGTGCACTGGATTTGCGTTTGTTTTTTGCTTTACGTTGTGTACTTATGCCCTGGCACTGTTGATATGGTCCGCCCTGCCGAATTGGAGGTGCACGACTGTATTTACCTTCTTTGGACATTTTCCCGTCAGATCCGGTTGGCTATTAATACCGGTAGTTCAGGGCCAAGAGATGGATACGTCACATCTTACAATTGGATACGTAAGGTGGTAATCTCTGTACACAAGTCGCACACAACTCATTCGCAATAATGGCAAGTTCCGATGGTGGCATGAGCAACGCCGATTTCGCGCGCATGTTCCGCAAAGAAGTCAGAGAGGAGGCTCAAGACCACGATCTAAAGACTACACAGGGAGACTCCTCTACAGACGACATCAGTCTTGACTCAAATCCGATGGAGTCAGCAGCCAGGAGAAGGCGTCAAGAGATGGCCCCGACAGGCTCGACTCAAGACGCGGACGAGATGCCACGAGCCTCTGGGCTTGGATTCGGATCCAATTCAGGGCCAGATCTGGCATCCGCGTCTAGTTTTACGTCAGGTCTGGGTTTCCGCCCGAGTTCTGGAACTGGATTAGGTCTTGGGGCTGATACACAGGATGCAGTACCCTCTAGACCGGTCAAAACCAAGACTTATGGCTGGGAGAAACACACAACAGGCTTCGGTACTAAAATGCTGGCCAAAATGGGCTTCAAAGGTCGTCTAGGCAAGAAGGAAGACGGTGTATCGGCCACCATTGAGGTCAAAAAGCGTCCAACCCAAATGGGTATGGGCTATGGTGACTTCGTGGAGGCCAGCAACCTCAAACAAAACAGGAAATTACAGAAAGAACTGAAAGGAGAGACTGTGGAAGATGATGACACAGATAAACAGGCTGGAGGTGTTGTAGAGGACGATTCGTTATGGAGAAAGAGGAAGGTGGTGACAGGACGCAGGAAACACAAGCGAGCGGCTGACTTGACGCAGGAAGCTCATGACTTGAAGAAACACAAGAGAAACGACACTATCCTGGATATGAGAGGCCCTTCTGTGCGTGTTCTGTCCGACGTGGCGGCTGTGTACGATGTGGATCCACAGCGCGTCGAAGCTGCGAAGCCGAAACTTGGTGACGAGTTGATTTACAACGTTCGGATGGTGGTGAACCTCGCCGAAGGCAAGATTTACGACTTGACTCAAAAGATCGACAGTAACAAAGAGAGTCTTGTTGGGATGAAGAAGGAAGCCCAGCTGATTAAAGCTCAACTGGATGTGGATGATGTGCGACTGCAGCACATGCAAGCCATGGTGGAACAAATGAAGGCACTGGACACTCTACGCGAGAAAGCACTTGAGATGCAATCAGTGGAGCCTATAGTATCACATCTGCGCACTGTACGTCGGAGTTTCCCACTGGTGTTCGAAGCACACAAGCTTCAGCAACTCGTGCCGTCTATCTGCATGCCTCCGCTTCGAATGTTATTGACGGAATCAAAGCTACTCGATCAAGCATCAAGTGATCGTGTCGTGCTTCAATTCCAGCTAGTCCAAGCCTTTCTGACAGAGTTACCGAGCAATAGAACAGCAAAGGATGCGACCGAATCCAGGAGTGTGCTTCCCGTTATCCGCGAGAAGACCGTGGCCGAAGGAGACGATCTATACAATTTCATTTTGGAAGAGACCTTGTGGCCTGCCATGGTGCAGTGTGTGAATGTGGATTGGCACGCAAAGTCCGCCCCAGCTGAGTGTGTCGATCTATACCTGAAGTTCAGACCACATTTGTCGGATGAGTTTGAAGATGCGTTTCTGGATCAGTTGGTGCTTGCTCGACTGAAGAAAGAATGCCATCGCTGGGATCCTCGGTCGGATACGATTCTTATTCACGAGTGGTTGCTTCCTTGGTTACCCTACGTCGGTTATGCGATGAAGTCTCTGTACCCTGACATCCGGTTGGCTCTTGCAAGTGCCTTAAATCAGTGGCATCCTTCAGATTTGTCCGTACTTGCTGTCTTGTCTCCGTGGAGAGAACTCTGGGGTGAGCGTGAGTATGGCAAGTTCACTCATCGGCATATTGTACGGAAACTGATCCGGTGCTTACATCGCGAATTTGAGATTAACCCGGAGAATCAGTCATTGGAGGCTTTGACATGGGTGTTGGCATGGAAAGATCATCTTCCCCATCGTCAGTTCATTGCGCTATTGGAAGGCGAGTTCTTCCCAAAGTGGCTCAAGGTTCTTCATAAGTGGGTCAGCGGCTCGCCAGATCTGGCTGAACTGGAGAAATGGTATTGCGGATGGAAGTTGCTTTTTGAGAAGAACAAATTAGCAACTAATGAACGGCTTGTGGTGCATTTCCACGGAGCGCTTGTGCTTCTCCACGCTGCGACCGAGTTGTTTGGCGTCCCAGCTGATAGTAGACCACTAGTGCCAGAACTGAATGGCAGCGCCGCCCGGGGCTACCAAGATGCACTGGCATTGGCGCGAGAGGAAGATACAGAAGAGCCACCGGTGCGAGAGGAGAAGAAGTCGCCGCGAACAATGTCCTCACGCAGCGTCAGTCTGAAGGACGTCATTGAAAACGTGGCAATAAGTCACAATTTGACTTTTATGCCGAAGGGCGTACACGACGGACAGCAAGTCTACACGTTCGGAGAGCACCAGATTATCATAGAGCAAGGTGTGGTGTTTGTGGAGAAATCGAAGGGTGTGTTCAAGCCCGTGGATCTTGAGCAACTCCTGTAGAAAACAACACGAGCCGCGAACATTGGTGCGTTTATTCATCTTTATAACCGAATGACGAAGAGAATAAAATAGGTTCGAATAAACACAAATTGTGGTAATGTGAACGCGGACTTTGCTCGCGGCATGTGGTCGTACCGGTAGTATAGCTCTGCGTTTTGGCCGACTGCCGTTTGAAAATCGAACAGGAGAATAAGCCGAATCGCCCGGCGAAAATCAACACCGCTGCCATTGACCGATGCGATCAATTCTGGCGACGTTGTTGTCGAATCTATAATATGCGGCCAATTTGATTGCAGTGATTAAAAGGACAGCGAAGGATGAGAGCTCGCTGTCTAGCCTGTCTTTATAACACCATCTGCCCCTTGGAGTTGGAGAGTGTACTCGTCGCAAGTATCCGGAAAGAAGACGTAGGTAACCTTGACCTCAGATTACTCTTCCACCTTGTACACTGGTTGCTGTATAGAGTGACTTCGAGGAATTAAATTAACCATGAACAAGCACAGTGTCGCATCATTTTCGACGAAAACTCCAGCGTAGTGCCACAAGCGCCACCAATCGCAACAATTTACCAGGGTTGATGTTTAATTCTGCGCCAGATCCACCGACATCACCTTTGAGCAACAAGTCGAGCAGCTTCCACTTCCAATCCAATTCGCCCAAGTTTTCTAAATCCTTTCGTACTTTATTATAAGTCCAGTTGTAGTTGCCGAGGTAGCTAGAGAAGTTTTGGATCTTGAGCCAATGTTTCCATTCATGCCGTTCTAGGTCGCACTTGTCAAAATTAGTTCGAGTACCAGATTAATGACCCAAAGACGCCTGGGGCACCGGCAGAATACCTTATGATAGCCTCGCGTGTCGAATCTCCACGATCCCTCAATGAGTTTGAAAAAAACCCACTCATTTGATGAGGGTAAAAGCGCTGAACTCTAACCACATCGACCAAATATATAGATAGGGCTGACATTTTCATCATCTCTTTAGCTTCATGTGCAAATTTTCTAACTCGTGACTTCCAAACGACCATTGGATATCGACTTTGGAATTGGCTTGCAACGGACCTGTCTTATCTATCGTTCGTTGGCTCCAACGATTGTCAAAACTGAGGAAACGTTTTGGCTATCGCTCAGCAAAGTCATTGGCAAGATCATCACAAGAGTTCGAAACGATGTTTGTGTGTCGTGGGAAACGTGTCTGAGTGGTTGATGAAATGGATGCCATGTTGAGAAATCAACAATCGACCAGTACTTTCTTGCATTGCCTACGTGGATGGCAAACCAGTTCCTACTTCCTGGGATTCGAAATTGGCGAAGCCCATGGAGGAGACACAACCGACTGACTTGTTCACGTGACGAAAATGCCTTTTGCAGCTTTTCGAACGGCTTGATCATTTCCATTGGGACCGAGTAGGATTCCAAAAGACTGGTCCTTGGTAAACAACGTCTTTCTGCACAAGCTTGACCCACTTCAAGGGTGGCATGCTCTCATCATGTGTCATGTACACTTTCACGATTAGATCGCCCTTCTTCGAGCCACCGAGTGCGTCAATTTTCGCGTCTTCTTCCATAGGTTTATTCCACGCAACATTCGTTGCTCTATTCGCGTAGCCTGTAAGAGCAGTCCCTCTGAGATAACTATTCTTGTATAGATCTCCCACTTTGCAGAATCGAGATTTGCTGGCATCTCGACGAAATTCTACCGAGCTAGCAGAGATACCCGACAGTGGCAAGCCCGTTGCAGTATCTACCATCTGGAGCCACACTTGCGCTCCATCACTAGCAATGTGCGAGGATAGCCCTCCAATAACCAACCTCGAGTCGTGCAGTCTGGTTGACTAAGACGATGCAGTACGATTTCTTTGGCAATGTCGTCTGGAACGAGGTCTTCGGCGCTTAGGGTCCGGCTAACATCTGTGTACGTCTAAAGTTTGTTTGCGAGAAATCGAAGCGCAGACAGGAGTCAGAAGCTTTGCGAGGTCACACAGTCCCCGGAGTGAAGCAACACCAGCAAAAGAATTGGCGATGACAACGTTATTAATAGCGAGGTGGCAGAATCGAGCTCGTTGACGCAAGCGCAGGAGCTACTGGCAATGGCCACAGCCCTTCCAAAGATGGATGCCATGGCTCTAAGTAAGACTTCAACTTTGCGTGGAGCTTCAAATTTATCAAGCGACACCGATAGCAGCATCATAAGTTGCATTGCAAGGTGCAGCATGTTTGAGCTCTAAGTAATTAGAGGAGATAGCGACGTGAAATACAATGCTTGTTGTGCAAGGACGAACAAGTCCCACGTTTCCGAACACCGGTTTTGATAAGAACGTTTCATTTCGGTCGTTTTTGGAAATAAACTTTGGTAGGCGTCCTCACCGCCTGTGATTGGTCAAAATAAAACACGGGTCTTTGTTAAAAACGAGCAAACCCGGCCTGCTTTCACTCCTTTGTTTTGCATTTTGTATTTGTTTTCTCTTCTTGACCTGACCCGAATTTTTCAAACAGGCCAGCCAATCGCAAAAGGGCCCAAACCGCCGCCTTTTCCCCACCATTCCCCGTTCCGCCCCCCGTGGTCCTTTAGTGACTCCGCGTGTGAATCCCCTCTGCATCTCTCTCTTCTTCCCCACATCTAGACCCCCATGGACATCTCAGCCGCCCTCCTCAACACTCAGAGCCCCGGTACGTGCTTCATCAGTCGTTGAGACGTGTTACAAGCTGACTAACGATATCTTGGGTGTGGATATTATCAGACCTTCAGCTACGGAAGCAGGCGGAGGAGTTCCTGAACAATGCGCTGCAGCAACAGATGGGCCAGTTCATGGTGACCCTCGTACAGGCTCTGTCCTCAGAGGAGTTCGCCGTGGTGGGCCGCCAAGCCGCCGGTCTATACCTCAAGAACGTGCTGGACGCTAAGGACGACGCTCTACAGCAGCAGAAGATCAATGCCTGGATGGCCATGGACACGGCCCTCCGCACCCAGATCAAGGATGGCTCTCTCGGTGTGCTGCAGTCCAACGACCCTGTGGCTCGCCACACGAGCGCCCAGCTGGTGGCCAAGATCGGCAGCATCGAGCTGCCACAGAAGGAGTGGCCGACCCTGCTAGAGTCTCTACTACAAAACGTGACGAGCGGCAGTGAAGGCTGCATCCACGCCACGCTCGAGTGTCTCGGATACCTTTGTGACGAGCTGGAGGAAGGCGCCATCGACGAACAGGACACGAACCGTATCCTTACAGCCATCGTGGACGGTATCCGAGCCGAACGCCCACCGGCCATCCGTCTTGCAGCCATTACGGCCCTACGCAACAGTCTGGAGTTTGTGAGCGAGAACTTTAAGCGCAAACAGGAGCGTGACCACCTCATGCAAAAGATCTGCGAGGCTACGCAGTCCCCGGACCTGCGTACCCGTGTGGTGGCGTACGAGTGCATTGCTGCCATTGCTACGATGTATTACGAGTACCTGGCCGAGTATATGGAGACGCTGTGCAAGCTGACGTTCAACGCCATTACCGGCGACCAGGATGAGGTTGGTCTGCAGTCGCTCGAGTTCTGGTCGTCCATGTGCGACGTAGAGCTGGATTTGATCGAGGAGATGAACTACGCTCAGCTGGAGAACCGCACCGACTACATTCCATGCAATTACTACGTGCAGACTGTTCTGAACACGCTCATCCCTCTGCTGACTGAAACGTTGAAGAAACAGGAGGACGACCAGGACGAGGACTCGTGGAATTTGTCGATGGCTGCTGCTACGTGTCTGGCCCTGGTAGCCCAGGTGGTTGGTGACGCCTGTGTGGACCTCACAATGACGTTTATTACTCAGAACATCGAGAGCAACGAATGGCGTCCCAAGGAGGCGGCTATCATGGCTTTTGGCTCGATTCTGGATGGCCCCGACTCGGTGAAGATCGCTCCGCTGGTGCGTCAGGCGCTGGGCTTCCTGATGGGCTGCATGAAGTTCGACAACATTCTTGTGCGTGACACGACGGCGTGGACGCTTGGCCGTATCTGTGAACTGCACTGCGGCTGCATCAGTGGCGAGATGCTGCCAGGACTTATGCAATTGCTGCTTGAAGGTCTGGATCAGGAGCCGCGTGTGTCACACAATGTTTGCTACGCTATCCACAACATCGTCAAGGCTTTTGAGGAGTCGGAGGCGGCTGCACACATGTTGACTCCATACTTCAAGACGCTGTTCGACAAGCTGCTTGAGACCAGTAACCGCCCCAACGCCACGGAGAGTAACCTGCGTGGATCAGCATACGAGGCTCTGAACGTACTGGTGCAGGCTGGTGCTGACGAGGTGAACGAGCACATTATTCTGCGTCTACCCGTGGTGTTGGAGCGTTTGGAGCAGAGCATTAAGACATTGATCGAGAACCCGAACAGCCTTCACGACGACCAGGCTGGGTTGCAGGCACTGCTGTGTGGCGTCCTGATCGCTGCCATCCAGAAGCTGAACACGGACATTGAGCCACTGGCGGACCGTATCATGCAGGCGCTGCTGCAGGTGTTCTCTACTCGCAATGCTGCGGCTGCTGAGGAGGCATTTATGGCTGCTGGTGCCCTGGCTAATGTTGTTGGTCCCAAGTTCGAGGTGTACATGCAGTACTTTGGCCCGGTCGTGCTTATGGGTCTGAAGAACAGCGAGGAGTACATGGTGTGCAGTGTTGCGGTGGGTGTCGTTGGCGACCTTTGCCGTGCTCTAGAGGGCAAGATCCAGCCGCTGTGCGATGAATACGTGGCTGCTTTGATCGAGATTCTGAAGAACCCGATGCTTAACCGCTCGGTGAAGCCGCCGGTTCTGTCGTGCTTTGGTGATATCGCGTTGGCTATTGAAGGTGAATACGAGCGCTACGCGGTGTCTTCGCTGCAGATGATTCTTCAGGCAGCCGGTGCGTGTGGATCTATTGCGACAGATGATGAAGAAGTGGTGGAATACATGAACCAGCTGCGCGAGAGCGTGCTAGAGGCGCTCACGGGTATTGTCCAGGGCCTTGGCGCTGCCAACAAGGCTGCAATGCTGATGGAATGTGCGCCGCAGATTGGAGCTTTCTTGGCTACGCTGGCGAATGACCTTGCGACGCGATCGGACGCGGTGACGACTGGCGCGGTGGGCCTCATTGGGTATGTAAACATTCACGTCTGCTACTTCGATGCTTAATGGCTTACTAACATACTTACGTGTTGTTTTGTTAGCGACATGGGCCAGGCGATGGGCAAGGCTGTGGAAACGCTGTTCCACCAGCAGTTTGTGGTTCAGCTCGTGACGGAGTGCGCTAACAACGCGCAAAACCCGCAGGCGCAGCAGCTGGCGGCGTGGACGCAGAAGGTGATTATGGATCTCCAGGCGAACTAAACTTTGGGTCGACGTCGCCTTGGTCTTACCCCTGCTCGTCTCTTGTGGTTTGCCTTCTGCAAACAGCGAGGCTATGCGGGTGGTAGAACTGAGATGCGTTCGTACCAAGTTTTGATGAACCTGAAGACAAGTGTTGGCTGACCGCGCATTTCTCTTGTCGCCCCTGCTCGCATTTTGCTGGTTGCCTTCTGCGGTCACAAAAGCAAGTGAAGGCTGATTGGAGTTTGCTGGCCGGGTGACGTTCGCAATACGTGTTAGGAGTGCTTCGTGTGGCATGCTGATACTTATTTATCGGGAGTTGTGAGCTGGCTTGAGGCGGTGAGTGCTTCCCACTTGACATGACTGTCGAGTGTCTTTGTGGGCATCTGTGCTCTTGTTTTCCCCGACTGGGAGGACGAGTAGATCGCAGATTGTTCATGGAAGCGCTTGAGTGTAGGCCAGAAGGAAACCTTGTTTCCATATTCATAGAATACAGTCGCGATGACGGGAGGACAGACCCGGCTGCATGACGCAGCCTGCCTGTTCGACTGTCTTGTCGGTTTTCCCAAAGTTTGTTCGTCTGGTGTCGATTACTTCCTCCGTCCGGAAATACTACGTAGTTTAACTTCATACTTATAAAATAAGCGGACGATCATTTGGATCTAGGCTATAAAACGGATGGACATTCCAACTGCGAAGCACAATAAAATAAATCTATGTTTTAGCAAACCGAACTTTGTGAATGCGAACTTAGTACTCATATTATGGACATTGCGCGGAAATCGGGACATTAACTGAAGTTATTAATTGTCGATACGAAGTGCAAGTGCCACGTCTATTCCCAGTTGCTTCTCCCTCTTCCATCGGCAACAACGTAACTAGACTCGTTGTGCAACGATGAGTCTGGGAGATAGAACTACACTGTAGGAAGGGGGGGGGAGTCGTGCGGTAACATCATCATGCTTTCTAAAATGGTGATTTGTTTAGAATTCTCTCGCAAAAATCAACAAAGAACTCACTAAAATATTTAAAACGCCAGACTTACAAATGGTAAGATAAAAAAACAAAAATGCAATCATGAATTCATCGTGCATTTTGCAGTGGGGAACAAGTGCGACGAAATTTATGAATAGATTCTGTTCAAGGTTGTCTCAACAGTTTTCACAATCGCAAAGCATTAAATTCTGTTTTTAATTGTGTTTTGTGCGGTTCATCGTCAGCCCGTGATCATAGGTGAAATGTACATATTTCGTGGATTCGTCTTAGCTGTGAATTCGCCAGCACCTTATAAATTATTGGTGGATGGTGGTATGACTGTGCTTGGACATTCTCTATTCAGTCGAAAGCTTGTACTCCGCTTAATCACGATCTATAAACCTGCGTGTGTGAATAAGTGCAGCAACAGCATCGGACTTCTAAATCATCTTAATATATATAATCCGCATATTCATGTTGCACGAACGTTGACCCAGTTGACGACAAATTTAATCTTCCAATAGCTAGCTTACGCTACCTACTATATCTCACAGTATATGACCTATCAATATCAGTGCATTGAAAAAGTGTATCTATAGATGATCACCGATGATACATGTATCTCCAGCGCACTCTCTGTGGTGTGTATAGTTCAGATCAGGGATTATGGGGTTTCTCCATAATGGACTATGGGCCCGTAACGGATGGAGCTGGGATTTTGCCCTCTCCATCAATTGATGCTGATTCGTCCGAGTCCGAGTCCTCGCCCTGAATGACCGTATTCGAACTGGCGGATTCATCTTCATCGTCATCGCGTGGGGCATTGAAGGGCTTGCCGTAAATTCGCTTGTACTCTTCCAGATGGCACTTAGCCGCACGCATCATGCACTCGTTCGAGTACGTGACTCCGTTCTCGTCCATCACGGGACTCATCATCTCAGAGCAGGCAAAGTTGCATGACGTACCGAGGTCGTCTGACTCTACGTGGCTACTAGACTCGGTGGGCGAATCCCTTATCATGATCGGGCTATCATAAGCAGCGTGGGCGGTGGTGACGGCGATGGCCGCAAGGGCGAGGGGGGCGGCAAACTTCATCTCGATCACCGGCATTATAGTAGCTGGTGTTGTGGCCTTGTCTGTTCGCGAAATGAGCAAAGATCAACCATGACTACTTTAATCTCACTGTCAAGCCAGGTTGCCTATCGTTGCCGTGCTCCCCGCCGCGCAATGAATCTACGCTCATCCCATCCAATTAATTTTCACTGTTCGGATTATGGTACCTGTACATGTACCGTATTTATCTTTATTCGCGAGCCACATCAGTACACCATCGGATCATTTTTTTGTGGTTGGCCTATCAGCTAAAGCCTATCATACTTAAGTAGATAAATCCAAGCCTCGGACGAGCAGCGAGGAGCACCGAGAGCAGGTTTTTGCTCGGCAAATTTTCGAAGGAGCTTGCTCGTTTCTTACGAATTCCGTTAGCTAATAAAGTGACAGGCTACTCTGGCAACTTTTAGAATACCCATACGCCCCTTTAATCGCTCTATTAGCCTATCAGATCGCTGCGTAGAGGCCTAGATAAACTAAATTCTATTCCCAGATTCGTAATTTTTTGTGCTCAAGATCAAACAATTCCGCTTGTACATGTACAAGACGTTGTTTCAGTGACAAGCGCGTCTGAAATTCAGACTGAATGGTGTATGAAATCCTCTCGTAAAGCGATTGTATGAGATCTAACATTAGAGTAATCATGTTAAGCATGGTAAACAGCTCCGCCTTGAAGTAAAAACACTGCTTACTGAAAGCCCAGCATTTTGTGGAGACTCTTTAAAATCAATATGGGCTAAATTGTACCCTGATTAATAAAATTGACAAATTCAGTTTAGACAAATTGAAACATCAAGGGTTAAAAAACATCAATAGGTCTTAACAAGTAGGATCAAACTTAAGCTACAGGTATCGCAGGGCGCTATAACACTTGTATCTGTAGTAGTACAAACTCCGCCCCTCGTAAACTCAACACGATTTTTTCTTTTATTCGATAAAAGAAGGAATTGCCCTACTCCTCTATATAACATGACCGCGAACCGGATCCTTTTTTACACTATATATCATTGTATGATAGCCAATCCCTAGTAGATACCGGTAAAGTGTTTGGATGTCACACCGTGTGACACCACTGGTGTCACCCAGACAGCGTGTGTAACTCAATGCAAAGCGAGGAATTAATTAAACATGTTATTATTTTCAGCCATACTTACTATAGTACATGTATTTGTCACGATATTTTTTACTACTATTACAGATACAAGTGTTATAGCGCGCAGCGATATCTGTAGCTTAAGTTCGATCCTACTTGTTAAGACCTATTGATGTTTTTTAACCCTTGGTGTCGAATCTGAATTAGTCAATTTTGTTAATCAGGGTACAATTTAGCCCATATTGATTTTAAAGAGTCTCCACAAAATGCTGAACTTTCAGTAAGCAAGGCGGAGCTGTTTACCATGCTTAACATGATTACTTTAATGCTAGATCTCATACAATCGCTTTACGAGAGGATTTCATACACCATTCAGACGCGCTTGTCACTGAAACAACGTACGAGGTTGAGACTTGTACACGAACAAGCGTAATTGAGACAAACCAGGCAAGTTTTAGAAGCAGAAATAGTGATTTTGATGGAGACGCTATTGTGGACGACGAAATACGAGGCGATGACTCGAAAATTGTATCTGGAGAGCTCAATTTATCACGGTAAGAGTCTGAATACATGACCTATGTATTCGATGTCCCGGCTACAACCTAGACGTTGGTTCGTTACCGACGGTAAGTCTTACCGTGTAGAGGTGATGATAGCCTCGAGTGAATCGACGATGATCTGCTATATTTTGTTTGCGACCATCGTCTGCGAGCGCAACGTGCATCATTAATATAGGATGGGCCCTATCGGAAGGGCTTATTCTACATTTATATATTGGCTGTGGTGCCTTCCAGTGCAGAATGTGCGTGAGCAAGAAATTATAAGTGCAACATCAGAAGAAATTTGCTACAACTTACAACTAGCCTACTTAGTACAGAGCTTGTGACGGGGTCTTGGGCTTGAGGAAGTCGGCTTCCGAGAGTTTACAATATCTCAGTGAACATTAGCTCACATGCCCCTATTGTCGAAAGGAGTGAAGTGACCAGTTTAAGGTAAGTTGTAAGCTGGATGTATTTATAGGTATAAATATTAATAACATAATATACAAGCTATAAGTCGTAACCTATAGTAAATCTATAGGATGTCATCAGCCAATGATTGGCTTCTGACGACCCTGGTACGTATACCGAAGTGTTGATGTGTCACACTTCATGTAACCAGGGGCGTTACGTAGGTTCTGCTCACCGACCAATCATAATGAGGAAACGTAATCTCAAACTTTCATTCTCAAAGTCGAAATACATCGAGTTGGCTGCGCGAACGCGGTGGTGGCTAACTTTACAGCTAGAGCCTCGAGCAGCACTTGACTGCTCTTCTTCTCGGCCTCCACTTCGACCTTTGACACACCCCGTGGCACTACGAAGAGCGGTTTAAAAACACAATCTAAGGCTGCTACCGGAAAGGCGCAAGCCACGAGAACTAAGCCTCACGGCAAAGACTCTGCAGTCCAAAAGGCTACTAAGGTGACCTCGGAGGCGATCGGTTCATCTGGTGACGCGGCTGCGAGCAAGCGTGCAAGCAAACGCCGCCGTCGGTCAACCTTGGTCTCTCCAGACAACCGACCGCCCCCGCGGTTCGTTGAACGTGAGTTCGGTTCGGGCAGTGAGGACGAGGCCTAGTCCGGGAGCATTCACAATACTCCTATGGTCTCCGTGGAAGGGAATACACCAGTTATCAGTGAGCGCGACGACAACAGCGTGCACTCGCTCACTCGTGATCACAGTGATCACGGTGATCACAGTCCCAGGACATCTGCGCGCTCTGAGAGTCCTGAAGTCAAGGCTAAGGGCTCTCTATAGCTGGCAACAACGATGAAAAGAACCCCCAGAAGCATTAATCGCTCGCCGAGGGTCTTGCGCGTGCTAAGGCTTTTAAAGTCACAGCCAAAGACGCCAAGCCCTCTAAGAAGCGCACGGCTTCGAGGTCGCTACTCCGCGAGGAGAAGGAGACTGGGTACTCCTATCGGAGTCTTTTCGGGTCCTCGGATGAAGATAAAGAGAAGGGTGCCATCCCTAAGCCCCGGGAGATCACGAACGATCTCGACCGGCAGCAGGAAGACTTCCAAGCTGCCCAGC